CAACAAAAATGAAACGTAATTTTGCAGAATATACTGTTCCCTTTCCTCGCAGATACTTGTAAAAAATAATAACAATTATTCCTCACCCCTCAGGAAGAGCAGGAAAGGTTACGTGTAGAAATTCCCAAATTTCTCCCACCCAAAAAAAAAAAATTGGCCCTCCCTCCCAACAATCGGTTATGGATCCACCCCTGCTTTCAGTGATTACGGTTACCACTGTCTCCTTGACAGTAAAGCAAGGAAATCATGTTTTGTCCTTGTAAAGTCTCACTGTATGTTATTGTCTTGAATAATGTGGTTTGCACTGCCATTGGAAGAAATGATTGATTCCTTCATGTATTAAAATGCAAATTAGCCCCAGCATTCAGGGTTTAAACCTCAAGGAACCTCTGAAGCATGTCTTTTTTTTTCTTTTTTTTGTGGTACAGTTTTGCGCACACGTATGTACACTCTATGGCTTCATTTACATGTGTTCCTTCTCTTCTCAGCTAACTACCAGTTCGATTTCACTCATAATTACTTCAGTATGTCAACTAAGGAAGGGAAAGTCATCAAGAAGCAAACTAAAGACATGCTTGATCCTGTGAAACCTTCATCCATGGCTTCATTGGCCTCGTCAACCTTGCCTTGGGTTAAATGAGTGCAGAACACACCAGCCCCACCTCTGGCTGGTGAGCCTCCTGCAGTTGAACTGGAAAGAGGGCCACCTTGTTCAATTTGCATCACTGACTGGTATCAACAAAGCAGAGATTGTTGATACCAGTATGGTTAAAAATCACATCACCTCCTAACTTGTACTGCTTGGGTCTGCAAGTCAGAGTCCCTTTCAAGACAGTATTCCTTAGATGGGCTGCTTGACAAAGGATTTGACAGCCGCAAAGGAAATTTGTCATTGATGAGCCAACTTTTTGGTGGAAATTTAGTCAAAGAAATGGAGGCTACGGAGAGAGCAAGTAAATTGGTAGCTAAAATGACCAGGAATGCCACAACTACTCTGGGGTCATATAGGTAAATAGGTTTCTCCTCATCATTCTGCTGTAAACGGGAAGTTTTGGGGCAATAATCTCTTTCAAGGGCACTCTGGAGAGTATGTATATATAAATCTACATCAAGTCATAGCAAAATCCAATCAGACTGAAGTACATATACGCTTGATCCGAAAAAATAGATACAGGCACATGTGTTCCTCTTCAGACTTGTTATCTTCAACATTTTGTTTGTAACTAGCAATCCCTACAACAAATGGTTGCATACTTCTGTTGTTTGTTAGAAACAAAATAGAGTTTGTTGACATTCTGTTTCAATCAAGGAGCGGTAGCAGCAATAAATTTTTAAGCTCAAGTTGAGATCGTTCAGAGGAACGTTGAAAAAATAGTAATGAAAGGGGAAGTCACTTGGGAAGAACCAGTGATCTGACAGCTTACTATGTCTTTGGTTTTGATTCCCAAAAACTCAGAAGAGCTCTGCCCTGTGATAAACCTTTTTTAAAAATAATTTTGTTATGTATCAGCTTTTCAAAATTGAAGGGAAAATTAAGTATAAGGTTGACCTACTTCAGGAGGTATTTTTTTTGTTCCATTGATCTCAAAGGGGCATATGTTCAAGTACATGTACATGTACTTGAACATGTTACTTGGGATGTTTAGAAAATTCTTTATTACATTGACTCACTCCCATCAAGCATGAGGCTTAGTGTAAAATAAGGTCCATCAATGTAGTGTTAATACCTGATTTTGCTTTGATATCGATATGAACGATATCCTTTTGACATTGCAATCGATATATCAACAGTGCAGATATAATGAAAAAATGAAGCTACTTGTATAAATTGCAATAAAGTAGTTGTTTTATAGACAATGTCTTGTCTTGAAATAAAAGTGTCTGTTTTCCATGGCCCAGAAAAGCAGTCAGCAAATTTACCTTTGATTTGTTTTTCCTCTTCACATAATATAAAAAGTGGTAAAAAGTAAACAGCTTTGTGGTGTACAATGTTTTTTTGCATTGTTAAGTACATTTAAGAACTTGTGTGCATCCGCTCCGAGCAGAAACAAAAGAGGATACGTTTTGAAATGAAATTGACAGTCCTTTGGTAGTCGTGCACGTTTGACGTGGAGCATGCTCAGTAACATTGCTTGACTTGCGTTACTAACCACTCTGGACTTGCGTCACACGAAGAAGTCCAGGAGAGTATTTGAACTTACACTTGCCAGCCAGTCTAAATGCCCCTCAGCTCATAGGCCAGTGCCAGGTGTTTTCTTGGCTCAGTATCCAGCAGACCCCAAACAATTCCCTTTCCAAAATTCTATTAACAAAATGTCCCATGTTCAGTGGAATATGGAAGAGCAGTCTTATCTTCGGTTTAGCTATGAAATATACCCAACAAGTTTTCATGACGAAGTTTGTCTTACTTTCTCATACTCAAAAGATGCCTAAGAACTACAAAGAATAGCTTCAGTGGTTTCTGGGAGATGTACATGTATACCCTGCAAGGGTTATTTAGATTTTTATGCATGAAGGAATCAACCGTGTGTGGGACAAACCATATTAAGAGATACAATAAGACATGGTGAGTCTCTCCTCCTCAGCCTCATATAATTTAAGTTATGTACAGTGTTCTCCAACATGTAGGAAAGACTTGGCGCCCTGCCATGCTTTCTGGGGTGCCTGCCATGCTTAGAAATCGCCGCCAAGCTTAAAAAACATGCTGCCGTGTTTACATTTTTTGGCTCTATGGTATACATTTATAACAGAATTAATTTAGAAACAATAACCACCGCTTCACTTTCAATCCAAACCTCGAGACTCCCCGACAATTTTGGCCTACCAGTACCAGTTTGCAACACGAGGCAACCTGATGCTCGAATCAACATACGTTTGAACATCGCCCCACATGATATTGACAACCAGTATTAGTCTGATCTCAGCTATTTTATTGTATCATCGTATTCGTGTGTCATGAGTGTGGGTCTGTGTTACCTGGAAGGGCGGGGGTTTGCTGCATTACTGTTTTTGGCACTGCCATGTGATGCTGTCAGCATTTGATGGTTATCTAGTGGAATACATAATGACTATAATACGCAAGGTGTGGTAGTATGCCCTGTCAAGAGCATAATCCCCCCCCCAAAAAAAGAAAGTATATGTTAATACATAGTTTATTAATATTTAGTTATACAACAGCTATGGGATATGATCACCCATTGGTATGGGATTTTTCAGTGGAAGGGTCCACTAATTGGATTGCTGCTCGTACATGTAGGTATCGGCAACAAGAGGAAAGTTGGCCATTGAAAATGGGATAAGTTGGGCACATCGTCAACGGTGCACCATACAATTTCAGCACATATCTCTCTCAAATGAAATTTTTGATTCGGTTTGAAGGGCTATATGGATCAATGAGGAGTACGCAATTCTGTCTGCCCTCTTTTCACTTTCTGATTGGGTTTCAGATGAAACATTGCAACGGTGAACCATGAAAACAAAAAGAAAAAGAATGTTAGTGACTCTCCTTTTTTCAGTTGAGGTGGTGTACCGTTGCGGTTGTTGTTATTGCCCGTGCACTTGCAGCATATTTAAAGAGTGGTATGAACGTGCTCCCTATTAGGATTAGGCGGACTTTTTAGAGACAATCCTGGACAAAGCTCATTGGAACATGCCTCTCTCCTCACCCCCTGTCAATGTTGTTTCTTATTTGGGTAAGCTGGGCCGAACCTTGGTCAAATAAATGACTGCAACATTGAAAGGGGGAGAGGGGGATCTTTTCACCATGCTTCCCACAAAGAGTTCCAACTATTTTGTTCAAGATTGTAGATGCCCCCTCATTCCATGCAATGTTTGTGTGTGTAGGCTACGCGTGTACATGTGTATTACGTTCGTTGAGTGCATACATGTCCGTGGTCTATTTTCGGTGTACATTTTGCCCGCGTCATGGCAAAACGTTCACAATAACTAACATGACATTTCTGCCCCCTGATCCTTTTAAAAGTAGGTTTTGTTTTCGTCAATACTTGGAAGTGAATAAAATTGAGGGATAGATGTGTATGAATACCTTAACAAACAAGAAACACTTTCTTTTAAAAGAATTGAAGGATAAATTTGACTTTAATACTTTTACAACCCAGATCCCTTGGATGACATGTCATTCTAAGTCAATAGTTGAAAATAATTGAAATTGTGGAATGAGGATATACATGTACTCATTGGTACTGATGTTTCAATTGAAGTTCTTTTTAGTAATTCTGTGCATGAATAAATGGAAGTCTTTTTAAAATCTTATAATTTTTGCTCAAAAAAAATAGGGAAAATAGCCAGGAATTGCCTTAGAACACACCACATTCCTGGGGTCCTTAAGCGGGCCCCGGACCTCATGCTGTGAGAGCTCGTGCTACGTGCTCGCATTGGTCCCAAACTCAGCACCAACCTTAATTTTTCAAATTTGGAGAACACTGTATGTAGTAGGTAAGAACCCTGGCATAATTGGAAAATTTGTGCTTACCTTGTAATCCATTCTTCGCAGAATCTGCCTTTGAACTTAGTCTTGATATGATTATTGTGTGGCTTCGAGGTGAAATTTTGGGAAGGCCTGTCTCTCACTTGTTGAACTTATATGGTCAATCAAAGGACACATAGATGTCAACTTGTGCTTATTCCAAACCTCTTTCCTACTTGTCCATGTGTACATGTATGTCCCATACTGTAAGCCGCTGTACAAATTTATCATTAAAATTTCCCTTTTCCTACTCAGCAAACAGTGTTTTGTTTGCCCTTGTGCCTTGCATTGCAAAGTGCGTGTGAGTGCAGTGCCTTACATGTATATGTGAAGATACCGGTAGGTCTGGGGAACTGATGCACATGAAACTTTGATAATCAAGGGATGAAAATTGCTGGTCATTGAAAGTCAGAGAAGCCACCTGTACAGTTTACAGTACTTAAAAAGAAATATGCATTTTAATATCATGACTACATGTATTGAAATTATTCTGTACATTGGTTTACCATTTCAGGAAAAGTCTGTTGTGGGTCAAGGGAAACACAGTGCGGACATGCCTCATCAACACAGCCCCCATCAAACAAATCTGTGCATGAGACAAAAAGTGATGCTCGTGCAGAGTCTGCTTTCACACGAGCATGGAGACCTGTTTTGATATTTATACCACTACGACTTGGATTGAATGAGATCAATGCAGTATACGTCAAACGCTTGAAGAGATGTTTCACCTTACGTCAGTCTCTTGGTGTGATAGGTGGCAAGCCAAACCATGCCCATTATTTCATAGGCTTTGTTGGTGAGTCGTACATTTCTCTGCTCTCTTCTGTTTCTTTCTCAAAATTATTTAAAAAATATAAAAACTACAAAATTGATTGTAATGCCATGTTAATAGATTGTTATTTTTAATTGGTCAAGAATCAATAACATGATATACCACAAACATGGATGTACCAGGTCCAAAGTTATTTTCAGTGTGATATGTGAGTGATGTACCCCATGGGGTACATTGTGCTGATCTTTCCTACGACTGAAAGTGTCATTTCCACTGTGTTGTTTCAGCCTGCCTTTAAGTACGACGCTGAACAGCCACACTGGTACTATGTTGTTCCATGTATATGACATGTGCTCTGGGAGACAGCGAAGCACTATCTCCTGCTGCAACCGCCATTTTTTTTTAACATTGTTCATGTTAACTTGGCCATTTTTGCCATATGTGTTATTTCACTTTAAAGTGTAGCTGCAATAAAGTTGTCTTGTACACAAAATTTTTTTCAACTTGGTATCCTTCAATTTTTGAAAAATAATTGACTTTCCTGTGTAGTCAAATACATTTGAAAAGTACATGCTTTTAAACAACTAAAATTATCCATGCTTTCCTGGAAAACTGAGGGTGCTATTGCTGTGGAATAATTTTGGAAAGACATGGTTCAATGTGTAGGTGTTTCTGTTCAAATTGTGAACCCAGAATTTAGTAACTGAAACTTTTCTGAGAGGGATTGATGATTCCTTATTGCTATGTACATAAACAACAATGAATCAGCAAAGAATAGAAAACTGAGTCCAGGAAAATCTACAGAAATGCAGGACTTTTGTGGGTACAAACCAATGAAACATTGAGGCTTCTTACTGAGATGACACCACAGCTTTGCTCATGATTATGGAAATACTCATTGGAATAAAAAGGCTTTAAAATAGTAAAACAAAGTTTTAGTTAAGTTGTAACTGAGACACAGGTGCATTTTGGAGATTTGCATAAAAAAATTGATTGCAGCTACCCTTTAATGATGTTGGTAAATGACAGCAGGTTGGTTTTTAACCACTTGCTGCCGGGTGGTTTGAAAAATGCAGTGCACATAATCGGGACTTTTTCAAGATTTTCAGTTTTCAAAATTCTTCAAAAATTCATCATTTCAATTAATGGACGTTTACACCCACACGAAAGACTGTCTGGTTGCTAGTCCAATCTTACAGACAAAATCTATTGACACTCGAGTATTTCAGCCAGGTCTGCAGCCTTGTAAAAAGAGCCCAGATTGTGCGGTGTTATGTCACTTTCTTTCACAAACCTGGCTTAGTGTGCTGCTGACCCCTTTTCAATAGGGGACAGATTAGCGTGCAGCGGTGCTGTGTAGCTTATCGTTGTGGTGGGGGAGCACTTTTGTCTCCGGTGGTAATCCACTCACACTAAATGGCCTAAACTGTGGTATACTGTTTCAAAAGAAGGCTGGATTATCTCCACTATTGAGAGTGAAAAAATGTCGTTAATGCCCAGCAGCCTGGTCTTTTGTCCCGAGTAGGGTCTTTTGTTACAAGGCCCAGTTCCCTTCGTCTGATTTCGGAGACCCCGGCCATGCATACAAAGCATACATGTACGGTATCGGAAACCCAGGCAGCTAGTGGTTAAAAAGTTTTACTTCTTCCAAAAACAAGCTCAGAAATTTTGTTTTTGTACAGGAAAGTGTCATCATGATGAAAAATATGGATATACATGTATTCTGTGAATGTGTGATTATATATAGCGGTTCAGGATTTCATATCACAACAGGCATCCAAGGCAAATCAGAAGGTGCCATTTGCCCCCTCCAGTTTTTATTATGGATCCCTACATAGCAGGCAACAATTCTGTAATGATAGATAATCTTCAGAGTACATTGAAACAGTGTGACAAACTCGAACACGCATTGATATTGCAACAGTGGCCAACATGTGGCACAGTCTGTGTTGTTCGTTGGTAGCCTACATTTGCGCATAATGTGTATGTGTCCACAGGTGGCCTTGTACATGTAGACTGGCTGTTGTCAATGAAAAAGGCAAGGTTGAAACTCATGTATCTACATATATGCATGCCTTCATGTTGTTTAAAGGGGATGAATGAATAGTACGCACTTGAGGGAGTTTATGTTCTGGTCTATAAGCAATACTACCAACAAGTCTTTCCATTGGCTGGGGCATAAATGACCATCTTGCAGGACACTTGCAAGAAATGCTTCCAGGACCTGAGACGTGTCCTGGCTGTTAATTGATTTTTCTTAATTATTATAATCTTACTGTATCCAACTGATTCCATACACTATTTCAGAAATAAAGTATGTGGCATGTTGCTTTGTCTGCACTAAATAGGTTAAAGGTACATGTACATGTACAGGTCATCATTTGTCATTTATGCATTTTGTTCTTATAAGGAACAAAGTTACCTGAAATTAAAAAAAAGGTGCCTGAAAACAAATGTGATGAAGTTTCAGCTCATTGAATATCTGAAAGAAAAATTACAGAATTATGATTTTGGATCAAAAGTTGCTGTGTCATGATGTGCCTGAATTCAGTGTCTGGAGCATGTTCTCATGTTCAGTCAAATGCAGGTAAGCAATGTCACACAATGCCTGAATTCAGTGTCTGGAGCATGTTGTCGTGTTCAGTCAAATGCAGGTAAGCAATGTCACACAATGCCTGAATTCAGTGTCTGGAGCATGTTGTCGTGTTCAGTCAAATGCAGGTAAGCAATGTCACACACTGCCTGAATTCAGTGTCTGGAGCATGTTCTTGTGTTCAGTCAAATGCAGGTAAGCAATGTCACACACTGCCTGAATTCAGTGTCTGGAGCATGTTCTCCAAGATAAAATGCGTTATTCTCAGCACACATACAGTTGTTGACAAACTCTTAGTCGCTTTTTGTTGCCATGGTATTGTAAACGTATTGCTCGAAATGCAGGCACCTGGCCAACTGTGTCTCTCCTTACTGGCAGAAGGCCAAGGATGTTACAGCATTATTATGTGTACATGTAGCAGCATGCAGGAATCAAATTTATACAGTTGTTATAATTCAACAAGGCATGCCAAAGGGGTTCGGCATAGCTTTCCAAAACCGCTGCTTGTAAAATACATCTCTCCAGTGTCAACTCAATATTTCCTGTTATTTCTTGCCGGTGTTTTCATTGTTTCTGGAATATCTTGTCAGTACGTGTTCGGGGCATCCTGGTAATGCTCTAGTGGACCATCTGGTTTAAATTTTCTTCACCTTTGCCGAAAATGGCTGGAAAGTGACTTAGCTGGGATTGCTTACCTCACCAGCTCTTCTCTGCTCAAGCAGGAGCAACCCATGGACCTTGTACACAGCTGAGGTAACCTACAGGCTTACAGGTACATATGTTGTTTTTTTTTGTCCTGGTCTATTTCTGCAATCACTCCCTTGGTATGCTGCAACCCAAAAGGCAGCTCATGAGACATTGTCACCTTCACCACATGCCAGTTGCTGTGGACCTGGCCATCCATGGGCTTTAGTGACTGACAACACTGGGGCAGTTTCGGCAAGCACTGCAAGTGGTAGCACAATGGGACCAGTCAATGTGCCACCGTGTATGGCTAGCTACAAGCAGTTGGTGAAGCTGCATACTTGCATTGCATGGCCATTGCTCATGCATGCAGTTGCTGTCCTGGCAGCCACTTCCAACGTGCTACCGTCCATCACTACAGGCAGCCAGTTCCAACAGGCGCCCAAGTGCTACCGGCGGCAGAAGCCTAACAGGCAGCAAGTCAAGCTCAGAGGGACTATTGGCTACAGTCTCATCAACGGGACTCTGTAGTTAACATTACTTTAAATCATGTTGTAGTGTAGTTTAGTGTAGTGTAGGCATAGGTTTAAATCGGCTAATTCCAATGGTTTTGCATTTAATTCCCTATACGGTAGCTGCCAGTGGAATTCCTGCTGATAGTGCTCACAGCTGCAGTCACTGTGGTAAGTTGGGGCACAGCACGTATTCATGTTCAGTGAGCATGGGGCTCGGGCCCACACTTCGCTGCAGCACTGCGAAGCGCTCAGCTGCCACATTTAGGGTACATCTGCCGCACCAGATATACAGCAGGCATTGCGGTTGACTCTCAAGTGGTTTGGAGACAGGCTTGAATTCAAACACTACAAAACAGTTATTTAAAAAAAAATGGATAATTACACCAATTTTCATGCTCCTAATGCTGTTAAAGCAAGGGTTCAGACATTATCATGGTCAGTCATTAACTGCTCCTCTTGCTCAAGGTTTTTCGCAAGTTTTTATCCTCCCTTTGTTTTCAAGATCCCAGAGTAAAAGAGATTTTGTTTGCCTTCAGTTGGCAATGGATAGGCACCAGGTAGTACTTAGCAAGTTTCAAAATGAGTTTGAATTTGGCAGATTTGGGTGAACATTTATTTATCGGCCTTTTACAAATCGTCAGTCTTCTCCAACTGGGCCTGTCCTTATGCAGCAACTGGGCTGTTTTCATTTTATCCACTAATTGCCATAGTCATATTCCTTTGGCGGTTCTGTGACCAACTTTGTCAATAATGAAAGGTGTGAAGTCCATTGCATTCATTACAGCTGTTGATTTAGCTGTGTCTCTGAGTCCCGTTCATTAGTTGGTTAAAAAGGACATAAAATCTGCTTTTCAGCTGCTGCCTGTCACACCTTCCATCCATGAGCTTCTTGGTTTCCCGTTTTAAAAATAATTTCACCATGCTCACCCTTGGCTGTTCTATCTCTGGTGCACTTTTTGCAATCATTAACACCTTTAAAATTCCATGTAAGTGAGTTTTGGAACAGCCTCTACATGTATATCACGTTACTTAGATTTTCTTTTTTTGTGAATCCATGGAGCATTGTGACATACTTATCAGTACTTTAAGGACGTTTGCATTCAGCTCAGAGTACCACTCAGAGAAGCCGGAAGGCCCTTGTCAAATACCAGTAATTACATACTTCAGTTTGGGGATTTTTACGGTAATAGTAAAATTTGTGTGCCATGGGATAAGATCATTTGCATGGAGTTTTTTGTTAAGGGAAACTCTGTCCTTTGTTGGCTCATTCAACTCCTGTCGTGCTATTGCTCCAGGTGGAACATTTCATATGAATTTTTGTGGTCTATAAAAACGGGATTTGGACAAGTGGACCACAAAACGTGGTGTCTCTACACACTCATTCCCCACAGTTCTTTCGTCATAACTTCAGACTTGCTTTTTAAAACAAAATTATGTTTTTTACAGGAAGAACAAGATTTGAATTCTCCTTTGGATAAAGATTGAGAAGTCATAGCCTCCCTCAGTTTTAGATTAATTTTCTGGTGTGCAGTGCATTTTGTCATTGGGAAACTGGTAAATGGTTAAATTTTACAACACTTACCTAGTACTCTAGGCTCGCCATTAAGAACCCTTTAAGTTGCCATGAAAATTGTTTCAATGAATAACAAGTTTGTTTTATAAGCTTTCTTCTCATGAGACAGTTGTTGTGATTTGGGGACATTTTTTCCCATCAATTTAAACATCAAAATGTTCACCCAATAATCAACCTTGTCCCCGTATCAGGTAAAGTGGTTTGCAAGTTTGCCAACAATGTTGGCCCATGTGTGGGGGCAAGTGTGGGGGTAAGTGTGCCCCATTGGTTCGGAAAGCTGCCAAAGTTCTGGTTGGCACCCACTCATTCTGGTTGAGCTAGTGTTTAACTTCGATCAGTTTACACCTATGAGGGTGAATTTTGGCAAGCCTGCCAAGATGGTCCTGTGTATATGTGAAGTGTGGTGAGTATGTGAATAAGTGTGCCTGTTTTTTCATGAAGCTGTTCTGGCTAGCACCCACTTGTTCTGAATGGTCCAGTGTTTATAACTTTTATCAGTTTACTTGGTAAATGGTTGGCAAGTATGCCAAAGATTTGGTTCCCGGGTTAGTTACTACCGCAGAATTCATGGTTGGATGGATCCAGCAAAAGATTTCTTGGTGATGAAATTATTGACAGGCTACCGAAGGTTATAATTCAGTTAACCACAAACAATGGCTAATGCCCTTGCTGGTACTGTCCCATATCGTTCAAGCCTTCCCACATTGGTGCAATGACTGATATGAAGTCACTCTTTTTAATGCTGTCATGCTCTTGGTGTTTTGGGGATTTTTCGCATTGGCAAGTTTGCCACCATTTCTGAATCCAACAGCGGCTGCTTTGGATTTTCCACTCAAAACTTAAAGCAATGGGCTGTTGGCGTTCAGATGCTGCTCAAGTTTGTTTGCCATTTTAAACCATGCTAGCTGCTCAGTATGTAATTCCTGTTATAATGAGCAATTTGCCAGTGTCCCAGTCCATGTCACTTGTTCTCACTCCTTGTTTGCAAGGGAAGTGTGGATCATTGTGAATTATAGCATTTGCAGAGCAGCCACCAGGTTGGGGCACAGTCCACTAGTACGTTGGAACGGTCAGGGTGGAGCCAGACTTACTTACTATCCGAATTTGACTCAATATGGCCAAGACTGGCTACATGTATGTTTAGCCAGCAGTGCAGACAAGAAGCGCAACTCCACATCACTACGATACAAGCCGGAATCTTCTAATGGTTGCTTCTGTATAATTATTTATTTGGCATACAGGAACAACGACAGCATTCTGAAAACACAGAAACAGAAAGGGGGCTTAATTACGAATTTAACTCCTATCGATAACTTTAACTATTCGCTTTCCCCAGTGACAAGATTAACATAAATATACATTCTACTAGAATATATGTTAAACTACGTCCGATACAACTGAACTAGTCGCTAAACCAGATCTCACCGTAATTAGAATAAAGCTAAAACTAAAATTAGTGGGCCAGTCATGAATAAAGCAAACAGAAGACAGAGTGGAAATCAAACCATTGACGTGAGAAAGTTCAGTCTAATTTGTGTGTCAAGTGTACAAACCAGGAGTAAATATTCTACCAATACCCAGACTAAGAGAAATTGCAAGCAAATCTAATGTATTTCTGCATTAGCAATCATTAATGCAATCTTATTGTATTGTACAGTTTAATCTGTTAAATTTCAATCTTAAATAAAATTGTTCCTTTAAATTGTTCTATTTACCTGAAGGTTTTCTTCTCCCGGACTTGTACCGTTAATCGGATACAACGGAATGATTCAAAAGCAAAACAAAGAAATTCATTGTTATTTAGTTGCGCGCGGACGCACACTTTTGCATGCTCTTACACAGCAGTCCAGCTGTTATTCAATCCAGCCAGCAACTTTAATGTGGAGACCATCTTGGCTTG